TTACCCGCATTTCATTAAATCTAAGCCACTCAAATATACCTAAAATAAGGATGATCATAGAAAATGTTGAAATAGTCTTACCCTTTCAGTCATTTAATTTTATCGAAATGATATAATGCGATTTTATGAAAAGGTTACTTTTTGTGGTTATTTTTGTTCATATCTAAAATCTATACCAAAATCAAATATATAAAATTTAATAAATTTGTGAGGTTACACAAGTAGACATATGTGGATCAGAATTCTCATTACTTCATACTGTTCCATACAATCATACAATATGCTTAGGTTACTCACTAAGCAATGATAGTGGAAGCCTGTAAATAATTTGTTTCACCAGGAAGGCGAGCTGCTGTTATTTTACTATTCTTTTTCTTTCCTTAACTGTACATGCATATCTCTCTATGTTCTTTTTCAAGGAATGACACATAGGATTTGATGCAAGAGCCAGGTCTGGAAATATCATGATTTAGGAGTTGTGAAAACATGCACATCACATAATAAAACGGTGAGAGATTATGAAAGCAGCCGTAGATTCTACGAAACCAAATGTCAAAAGTTGAGCTGTCAAACCAAGTTTTAGGAACTTGTTTGAGTCCATAGAAAGCCGTCAAATTTAATTAGAAAAATTAGGTATTAGACATAACTATCCTTACTAATTAGTATTTGAGACAAGCAATATTTCTGTTTGGGTTTTAATACCTAGGAATGAAATTTTGTTTTGGATTTTGCCAAAGAGGAGATCCAAATCCGTTGGCCCACCTTACATTAATCATTGAAAAGATAAATATACCCTTTTTGGTATAATTATAATTATATAGTGTGTTAAAATGAAAGCTCCTAATTTATTTTGGTATTTTACATACCAAATTTAGTGCAATTGGGTCAATATACACTTCCTCTTTTAGATTATCATGTAAAACAACACTTTGGACATCTAAAGTAGAGGTGTCAAACGAGTTGTGCTAGGCCGGCCTACCCTGTTTAGAGTGGGCCCATTTAATAAACGGGCCGTGCCTGGCCCGCCCATATGGACTCAAGCCGTGCTCATGCTGGGCCACTAAACAAGCCGATATGGGCCCACGCCAAATTTGACTTATGTATTGCATTTTTTTGTAATTTTTTTTACAACTTCATTTAAATATTTTTTACAATTATGTATATACTAATAAGATTTATTATTTGTTAAAAAAAAAAAAAAGTGGTCAATAACTTTATTTAAAGTACATTTAAATAGAAAATTGCTAGATTATTGTTTGGGTTTTAAAAATTAAAACTTGAAAAATAAAATTATAATTTTTTATATATAAATAAAACATTAATTTTTAATATATATTATTAGAGAAAAGAAATATACTCGAATTTAAGATATATATGTAATAATATTATGTATTATTTTTCTCTAAAACAAGTATAATTTAATAAATGAGCTTTAAATGGGCCGGCTATTGGATTTTGGGCCTGCATGGCCCACGATGGCCCATGGGCTTAGCCATTAGACCTAATTACCTCATCCCGGCATGGCCTAAAGATACAAAACATTCCATGCCGGGCCTTACTTAAGCAGACCGTGTTCGAGCCCAGTTCGTTTTGATCTTATTAATTAACAATTGCTAAAGTAATATATCAATATGGATAATGCCCTTCAAGTTGAAGGAAAATGTTTCCTAACTATTTAAAGCGGATAAGTAGAATACTTTGGATAGAGAAACTGTTGTCATTGATGCTTAATAGAAATAATAGAGCGTTGTCTGTATGACAATTAATATGATGAGAAAGAGAAATTTTTATATGTTCCGGGTACTCCACGTGGCTGGTGTACCATTCAATAAACGTAGGACATGTGGAATTATTGTCCAACTTACTGCATTTCTTTGTATTACATGTGGTAGGCTGCATTGGAAATATTCCATATGTTCTCCGTCTATTGGATGGTACACCAGCCACATGGTGTACCCGGAACACCCAAAAATTACTTGCTACAATGAGAGAAATAATTGCCCAAGGCGAGTGGATATATTTTGCTTCGAATTTCCTTCCATTTGTTCCAGGGATTTTGGTAGAATTTTGTTGAGATCATCACAAACCTCAACAAAACTACTGCTTTTTATATCAACCCCCTTTCCAATTCTATTAAAGAGAGTAGCCACTTGTTCTTCCTCACAAAGGCCATGTTCAACGATGCCATTCTCCACTAGCAGCTTCACATCCCTTGGGGTATTCACTAAGCAATCCATGAACAAAAAACACTCACTTAGAGCAGCTCCAGCGCTCACCCAAAATCGGGCAAAAGGCCCCCTAAGGCAACCCAAGATAGCTCCAACGCACAAGGCTGGCCCTGGCAATAGCTGGGTCCCACGAGCCTAGGCAAGCCCACGGGGAAATTCAGCCCGAGCTGCTACTTGGGCAGAATGATGCAATGCTGATGTCATAATGACGTCAGAAACCAAAAAAATTTGAAAAAAAAAGGAAAAAAAGGAAAAAAAAAAACCAAAAATTTCAGAATTTTTGTTAATAAATACCTAGGCATATTCGTTACTTCTCACACCAAAAACTCTATACAAATTCATCTCCTCATATCTCAAAATTAATGGTTTAAAGTATAAAAAAATAGGAAATAAAGTACAATGAATAGTATTTACCTTAGACTTGCCCTAGACTTAGCCCTCATGGGTGGAACCACAAATGGCAAGGCTGACACTATTCACGTGAATAGTGGCAGCCCTTGCTTGCCCTTGCCCTAGACTTAGCCCTTATGGGTGGAGATGCTCTTATGTAAGTCTCGTCCTTGTAGTGGCATTGCTCATATGCAATCGCATTTTAATGAACACCTCTGCAAAATCGTTGATTCTCAACTTTGGAATCGTAAGAATCCCATGATAACGATCAAATTGAATTTCAAATAAGCTTTGATTTCGGCCCACTTGAAATTTGAGACCTGCTTGATTTAACTCGGTCATACTGGGTGGACATGAAAGTGTAACGTGGTAGCAGAATACATATTCTAATTTCCTCCGAGTCTTCCCTTTCTCTTAACTTTTGAAATTGCATTCTGTAGTTGTGAGTTCTTATAAGATCAACAAAATGATGTCTTTCTCTGCCAGAAAAAAGTTCTTCAATCTCCTTCAATTCTTCTTTGGTCTTCTCGCCATATTTTTTGAAATTGAGTAAAAGGTACGAGAGAGAAATTATTGAAAGCTTATCAGTAGATTCAAAATAATTGTTTGCATCGAAGAGATCGTCGAGAATGAAAAGTGGTAGCTGATTTTCAAGCATCCACAGGTCAGACAATACATCACAGACCCTCCATGGTTTATTGCATATGCAGTCTTCTTCATTTCGGAATCTTCGGAAACTCGACTTCACCAAGAGCTCAAATATGAAGGCAGCATATACTAGAACCATTTCTACAAACTGATTGCTGGTAAAGACAATGGCTTCTTCATCAGAACTTCTCAGTTTTTGTTCTTGCTTCTTTACTTTCTCTAGATAATCCTCCATGCTTAGTTGGCTTCTTTCTAGAAAATCCCGTAGGTACCTCTTGTTGTGAACCTCCATGACCTTTAAGCGTTCATTTCCATGGTGAAGTAGGCCAATAGAGACTACGTGAGGTGTGAAGAATTTATCATCTCCCTGTCGTAGTCTCTCGAGAACTCTATAGATACACTGGGAAGGAGGCGAGGAAGACAAGTTATCCGTGTCGAGTCGGCCCATTTAATAAACAGGCCGTGTCGGGCTTGCCCATTTAGGAAAATCATCAATCCCGGCCCAAGTCCACGGCCGAAGCCAATTTGGGCTCTGGCCGTGCCCATGCTGGGCCACTTAATGGGCCGATATGGGCCCACGCCAAACTTGACTTATGTATTGCATTTTGTTTTGTAATTTTTTTTTACAACTTCATTTAAATATTTTTTCTTTACAATTATGTATATACTAATAAGATTTATTATTTGTTAACAAAAAAAGAAAAGAAAAAGAAAAGAGGTCAATAACTTTATTTAAAGTACATTTAAATAGAAAATTACTAGATTATTGTTTGGGTTTTAAAAATTGAAAATTGAAAAAAAAAATTTCATTATTTTATATATAAAGAAAACATTAATTTTTAATATATATTATTAGAGAAAAGAAATGGACTTGAATTTAAGATATATATGTAATAATATTATGTATTATTTTTCTCTAAAATAAGTATAATTTAATAAATAGGGTTTAAAAACGGGCCGTCACAGCCTGGCCCATTGGACCTAATTACCTTGTCCCAGCACGACCCAAAGATACGGACCATGCCGTGCAGGGCCTTACTTAAGCGGGCTGTGCTCAGACCGATCCGGTTGATACCTCTAATCTAAAGGAACAACTCTGTCCCCAAGTGGGGCTAATTGAACCAAATATCCTGAAGCTGCTCACATCAGGAATAGAAACAAAACGCTTTCCCTATGGTGACTTGTGATATACAGATAGAGGAAATGATTTAGTTGCAGTTTAAGACGCATCAAACCAGAGCTTAATAGGCAAAGAAGCTCTTGATAGTAATGCATGGCTAGTCTTGTGCAACTTTATTTTTTTGTTTCCCTTTATAAGAACTACGTTTTTACGTTTAATCTCATTAGAATTTCGGAAGTTCAGTACTATACTCCCCACCTCCATCAGACCTAAGAAGATTTCAATAAAGGATTTAAACTCACAACACAGATTGAGCTCAAGGCTTGTGTTGCAAATGAAAAATACAAGGGTCCATATGGATGAAAGTATTTACAATAAGGAATTTTGACTTTTAGACTGAAATGGTAACTGAACTTTAGAAATTCTTAAGCTAATAAAATCCACATAATTTGATATACTCATGAGAGCCCTAATTTTTTCTAAAGGCAAATCCCTCATGTCTTGCTTTATTTCTGATTTTAACTAGCTTGATAAAGGTGTCACATAGAATCATAACATTCTTTTTGCTTTGCAACAATGAGGTTCTGAATATTGTACAAACAACGCAGTTGTGATCAAGCTGATACGCTGCTTATGACAATTGGACTTCTAACAATGCAGTTGTGACTTCCATCGTACCAACACAGCGATGCAGACACATGCGATCCCTCTGGCATATCTCTTCCATCAACGGTTACAGTGAAATTCTTCTCCTCATTCAAGGACTTGAAGGAAAGAACTTCAGGCACCACTTTGATATCAACTTTGGAATTTGTTGTAATCAATGCCTTGTAATTGGAGTTTGCAAGGCCAACATTCTTAACTCTTCTATGAAAGTTGATCGTAAACAATTTCATTGATGTAACATTAGCAGCCATTGAAGGGTAATTGAGATCCTTTGGTGATCCTTTGTCCGAGCCAGTAGGGCAAGTGCTCTTATCTCCCGAAATGAGTCTAATTTTTTCCTCATCCAACATCATGCAAAGGAACTTAATGTAATCTTCTTTAGAAGCTTCGTACACAAGACCGGGGTTTATAGCTCTTACAGGATTGAGATGTCCAGATCCATAAGCAAATTCACCAGGAGAAGTGCTGGTATCATTCATGGGCCAAGCTGTAGTCATAATAGCTGATTTTATGGCTGCTGGAGACCAATCCGGGTGGAACTCTTTAACATATGCAGCTACACCAGCAGCATGGGGGCAAGACATGGAGGTTCCAGATAGTACATTGTATTTTACACGCCTCTCGTCATAAGGGCTGGCTGAGATAGAAGCAATAGGTGAATATGCAGCCACAATATCTATCCCAGGGCCAGTTATATCTGGCTTCAGAATTTCTGGTACAATTCTATTAGGACCGCGTGAAGAGAAGGAAGCGACACGAGGTGCAGCAGGATCTTTTATGACTTCACTCTTTAGTATCTTGGCTCGAGGATTTCTGGTGGAGTTGTGGTAGGACTTGGCCACAGCATACTCTCGGTTGTTTAAACCGGTCGCAGATAGTGGGACAACAGATGCAACATCTCTTGAATTGCTTAAAATTGCACCCTTTGCGCCAGCTCGATCAGCCTCAACATATCCACCGGACCAATCACATAGCACAACCTTTTCCTTAACTAAATCAGGGTCTAGGCAGCCTTCTAGACAATACCCAGCAAGGAATTCCGAGCATTGGTTTGAAGCATTTTTTCCATATATCAAAGGATAACTTGATTCATTTGATTCGAAAGAGTTTACTGAAATCCCAACTAGATTAGTTTCATTTCCAAGAACAGCCTTGGTAATGAATTTACGATCTATGCTACTTGCTGCAACTGTAAGAATCCACGGTGCCCCACTTGAGACAGTACCATTTCCAGGACCACTGTTGCCTGCAGATTGTACAGTTAGTATCCCTTTCTTCATTGCATGAAAAGCACCAATTGCTATAGGATCCGTTTCAAAAGACGTTGCAACAGTACGTCCAATTGAGATTGTAATGAGACTAACTCCATCATCAACACAATCGTCGAAAGCAGCCAAGAGATCAACCGAACTGCAACCTTGATTAGTGCAGACATTATACGCAGCAATTCTCCCAGCAGGAACTCCTCCTCTTGCAGTACCTCGGGCTAGTCCATAAAAGCTCACATCCTTTACAGCATTTCCTGCTGCCGTTGAGGCAGTGTGGCTTCCATGACCAATTTCATCCCTTGCAGACTTCTCTGATGTGTAAAACCGAGCTCCAATAATCTTGTTATTGCAAGTGAAATTCTGGCCACCTTGGCAAGCACCTTTCCATGTCTTGGGAGGAGGGCCAAAACCATCATCTTTAAAGCTATCGGATTCAGGCCAAATTCCACTGTCAATCACAGCCATGACAATGTTGCTCTCAACCGTTTTGCTTCGAGGGATGCTCTCACTGAAGCCCATAAAGTCCCAAGATCTTGTTGTGTGAAGTTGGAAAGTTGTGCTTGGAAAGACAGAGACTACTTCCTTCATGTTAGCAAGCTTTTCTCTCTCGCGGTTGGTGAGCTTGGCAGCAAATCCATTTAAACTCCTTCCATAACTTCTCACCAACACATTTGCAGCAGAACTTCCCTGGACAACTCTTTCTAGTATACCAAGTTGGTGATACAATGGTGAGTAAAGCTCATCACTAGGAAGTGACCCCAAGTACACAATATGGACCTTTCTATCTTCTTCATCAATGGCTTTGCACAACAAGCTCATAGCCAGTGCAAGAATAGGAAAAGCATAAGAATACAGGAGAGCTCCATGCTTAGCCATAACTTTCGATGATCACATTCGTAACTGGTGATGAGTACTTATAAGAAAAAATGATTTAATTCCTTAACCCCTATTTCCAAGTTCATATAGGAAGCTATGCACATTTCATATGTACATAAACAGATTTGGATTACGCGGCTCCCTAACAATTTCTAAAGATGTTGCAAAAGACAAGATTTGCCTACTCCTCCTGCTCTATGTACAATTTGAGGCATGCAGTAACGGCACTCAACCCACATTTTGCACGTCAAACCCAGATTACGTGCTCAAATATGTCTTTCCATGTATGTAGGGTAGGATGACAGAGATTCAAGCATTTGAAGAAATTGTTTCAGATTTTACATATATTTGGCTCTGCTGCAATGTAGGAAAGTATCCATAGAAAGCCACAACCTAACTATCACCAAAATAAACGTCATATGAAAACAATTCATTTTAAATTTTTTTAGTTGTCCAACAATCAATAAAATTTATTATGATGTTTTGGCCTTGCCAGTTCCAATTTAATTGGAATTGCACACATGATCACATCTTAAGCTGTCAACCTAAATAGAGTTATCTAAACTGCCTCCTAATCCTCTTCATTAGCTAGGCTCTCCTCAAAACACTTCATATTCATCAAAATTATTTGAAAAAAAGTGAATCCTCTGTTTTCTTAAACTGTTGAGTTGCCAGGAAATTAAGAAAACTAACAAAAGAATAATAACCTCATGCCCTAACAAAAATAACAATGCAATGTTATGACTTTCATAGTGATAGATGCCGTAGAGCCAAAAGACAAAAGACTGACAAAAAAAAAACACAGAGATTTTTTTATGGAAGAAACTCTTATTTGTAGGAAAGTGGTCCAGTGGAAGAGAGAGTTTGCCTGGTTCTCACGTCTCAGTGATACTATCTTTGGTTGGTTGCAGAAAAATGTAGGAAAAGAGAAAAAAAGGGAAATCAAGTTCCGACTATTTTTTTTAAAGGATGTTGTGAAAGTTGAGATGATTTATCGTCAGGCGAGAGAAGAAAAACTAGAATTAAATTGAACAAACTATAATAAAGAATTTAACATTGAAGCACAATTTGAATTAAACTAACAATTTGAATTTACCAATTAGACTGCTTAAGTACTAAGCAATTAGACTGCAAGGCTGAAACTAATTAGTTTCAACTCTTCCCAACTTCCAAACTAACAATAACCACTCAAACTAATCTTGCTGCCGTAAGCTCTGTTGCATTATTGATGAACTCCTACGGTAAGCCTCTGTCATAAACAATAAGTTTGTCACGAAGAAAACGAAATCAAGCAGTTAGTAAACTGCCAAGGAGTTCGTAAGAAGTGGATACAAACTGAACATCATGATTTTTGCTTATAATTCTATCACACACAAAAGAATAATCAGCGTATCTGTGCTCTTTCCATGAGTGAAACATAAAATGGACCATGACTGAAATATTGTCACACTGAAGTTCAGGATCAAATTTTTATGTTGTTATTTTGAGATCTGTTCGGGTATGTTTTGGGTTTCCTTGTTCAGGAAGGGTTTGGAAATGGACCAGGATCAAAGTGAGATGCAGTTTGAGAAATAGGAAATGGTGATCTGAGTAATCTTGCCTTACAAGCATATACAGAAGACTTGTCAGTAGAACTAGTAGAAGGACCAAATAAAAAGAAACGTTCGACTAATAGTACCTGCAGAAACAAATGGTTATGTTGTTAGGGCATAAAGACCACTTTTACTCAGGTGTGGCTTGTTTTTGTGCCTAACACGTAAACAATTCTTATTGAGTTAAATGGAGCACACAATTTCAATTGTGCCAGAAGAAAAGATGAACACACAATTAAAATGTGCCAGAAGAATTTTTTTTTTTTTTGTTACTACACAGAACTGATTGGCAGGCAGTGAATTGGAAGCTCTAGAAGGGACATGTAACACATTGGGAGGGTGCCTATACCTTGAAAAGCAGAATTATCGTGATGTTATTGGCAGTAATATGACCAGCCACGTACATATCTGACGTTAAACTTCCTCTTCAAGCAAGATGAGTTGTTTTTAGTAAGAAACAGATCCAAATTTGGTTTTAAGTTCTTGAAAAATTACCAGGAAGATTAGGTCCAGATGCCATCAAAATTCAAACAGGATCACCTTCTTCACCAAGAAACTAAAGCTCTATCGGTTTGTTCAGTGATGTTATACTCTGTAGTCAGCATAGAAGTTGCATAATGCTGGTTCTGTTTATTAAGTGCTTCTATTGAAATTCTCTTCAGCCAAAAGTGAAACATGTAATTCTTGCAGATTTTCTGATTGACGCGTTGTTCCTTATTGAGTTATAGCTACAGTTAAAGGAGGTTACGTAAGCTCTTTGTTGTCATCTAGATCTGTTTAATTACTCAGATGCTTTCATAATTTGTGTGAGGTTCATATGTTAAGCTCTTTATACCATATTTATATTCAAAAGATTGAAATAAGTACAAATCTTTTGTTACCAAAGGACTTGGATTAACAAAAAAAATTTGGATCATCACAATAAGGTTTTCTAGCAACAAGTCCTTCACAGTTTTGTTTTATTTACCACAGGAACAAGTGTCAGATACAATCATAAAATTTCCTTGGGATGCAACAATGAAGTTTTGAAGAATAAAAACAATGCAATTACCATGAAGCTGCTTTGCTGCGTACAAGAATTGGACTTCTAACTCTATGAGTTCCATCATACCAAACCAGTGACGCCGACGCATGTGATCCATCCGGCAAGCCTTTTGCAACGACTGTCACGGTGAAAGTCTTCTCCTCATTCAAGGACTTGAATGAAAGAACTTGAGGTACTACTTTGATGTCAACTTTAGAATCCGGGAGGATTTTGGCCTTGTAGGTAGAGTTTGCAAGGCCAACGTTTTTAACTGTTCTATTAAAGTTAATAGTAAAAGATGTCACTGGTTTAACAACAGCAGCCAGAGAAGGGTAATTGAAATCCTTTGGTGATCCTTTCTCAGAGCCTTTAGGACAAGAGCTGTTCTCTCCCGATATAAGTTTAACTCTTGCATCATCCAGGAACGAGCAGAGCAACTTAATGTGATCATCTTCAGAAGTTTCGTACACGAGGCCAGGATCTAGAGCTGTTACAGGATTGATGTGTCCAGATCCATGAGCAAATTCAGCAGGAGAAACGTCGTCGGTGTGGTTCATGGGCCAAGCTGTAGTCATAAGAGATGATTTGATGGCTGCTGGAGACCATTCAGGGTGGAATGTTCTAATATATGCAGCTGCAGCAGCAGCATGGGGACAAGCCATGGAGGTTCCAGATAGTAAACTGTATTTGACATGCCTCCCATCGTCAGGGCTATCTGTGATAGCAGCAACAGGCGAAAATGCAGCCAAAATATCTACTCCTGGGGCGCTTATGTCTGGTTTAATAATTTCTGGTAAAATCAAATTCGGTCCACGGGAAGAGAAAGAAACAACAATGGGTGCAGCAGGATCTTTTATGGCTTCACTTTTTAATATGTTGGCTTTAGCATGTTTTGTGGAGTTCAGGTAGGACTTGAGCCCCTCATAATCTTTGATGCTTAAACCTGTTGCAGGTAGTGGGACAATAAAAGCAACATCCTCACTGGCACTGATTACAATGGAACCTAGTGCACCAGCTTGAAGAGCCACTATATCTCCATCAGACGCATCACATACCAAAATCTTTCCCTTGACTAAATCACTGTCTATGCAGCCTGCTAAACAACTCTGAGCATCGAAATTGGAGCAGTGACTTGTAGCATCTTTTCCATATACCAAAGGATAACTTGTTCCATTGGATGTGAAAGAGTTCACCGAATTCCCGATGAGTGTCCTTCCATTTCCAAGAACAACCTTGTCAATGATCCGGCGATCTGTGCCACTTGCTGCAACTGTAAGTACCCATGGTTCTACACTTACTACGGTACCCTCTTCAGGGCCACGGTTGCCTGCAGAATGTGCGGTTAGTATCCCTTTCTTCATTGCATGAAAACTGCCAATGGCTATAGGATCCTTATCAAAAGGAGTGACGGAAGTGCCTCCAAGTGAAATTGTAATGATGTCAACTCCATCAGCAATAGCATCGTCAAAAGCAGCCATGATAGCCTCTCCAGGGCACTTTTTGAATTCGCAGACTTTATAGGCAGCAATTCTCGCAGAGGGAACTCCTCCTCTTGCAGTACCTTGTGCTAGTCCATAAAAGCTCGCGCCCTTAAAGGCATTCCCTGCTGCCGTTGAGGCAGTGTGGGATCCATGTCCAACTTCATCCCTTGCTGATGATGAGTTGTAACGCCGAGCTCCAATGATCTTGTTGTTGCAAGTGAAATTTTTGCCACCTTCACAAACACCTTTCCACTTCTTGGGAGCCGGACTAAAACCTTCGTCATTGAAGCTCTGCGATTCGGGCCAAATTCCAGTGTCGATCACACCAACGACAACATCACTCTCAGTAGTAGAATTTCGTTTGGTTTCGTCATTGAGACCAATAAAATCCCAAGATCTTGTTGTGTGAAGTTGGAAGTTTGTGCTTGGAAAGACAGAGACTACTTCCTTCATGTTAGCAAGCCTTTCTATTTCTTGGTCAGTGAGCTTGGCAGCGAACCCATTGAAGCTCCTTTTGTAGCTTCTTATCAAGAAATTAGAAGCAGAAGTGCTCTCCACAACTCTTTCGAGTATACCAATTTGGTGAGACAATGGTGAGAAGGCCTCATCATTAGGAAGTGATCCCAAGTAGACAATATATGGCTTTCTGTCTTCATCGTCAATGGCTTTGCACAATAAGCTCATAGTGAGTATGAGAATGGAGAAAACATAAGGAAACAGGAGAGCTCTATGCTTTGCCATTGTTTCGATTCGATGCTCTTAGACTAGACCATTACCCGTGAAGAATACTTTATAGGGGAAGAAGGACAGAACAATCTTATCTCCATTAACATCCAAGATTTTTCTTTCCTTTAGTTTCCAGTGCGCATTTGGAAATATTACAGCTTACATAGACATTATTTCTTCCCTTAAACTACAATTTCTAAGTGCATGTTTGCATATTTGAATTTAGACTTAATTCTGGCCCTGGTAATTTTTTAATGTGTTACAAATTTTTATTTTTTTTATTTTTTATTTTTAGAGAAAGGCGATAGTGTTTTATTGATAGAGGAAGAAGTAACTAGTACAAAAACTGGGCTGTGTCGTAGGGGATTAGACACTAAACCGTGCAGATTTTCTTACCCTCCTTTTCAATCCATACTTGGAATTATAGATAGTTGACAAATTTGATTCCTTAACCACAATCCCAAGTTCATATATACATATGGATAAAATACGAACCAAATGATATCCAGTACTCATCACCAAATCAGAAATACACTTTAGTTTTCTGTCACTGTTTTCAGAAGAAAAAATTATAAAGATTCCAGTACGCACAATGTTGAAATCCACAACACCAAACACAGAAAACACTAACAACTCTCCATTTTGACGACAATTAGCACGAATCCAACACAGTAACAATTGCACAAGATCAAGCTCATGATCAACAAAGGATAAAACACAACCCTGTTACTAGAGCTCTTATTTAGTTTGCAGTGAAAAGAAAAGAGAGATGAAAACAAACAAGAATGCACCAGATCATTCTATCTCTCAGAGATCAGTTTGTTGCAAGCAACAAATAATAAAACCACTGTTTGATTACCCAAAAATAAATCATTGAAAACAAAATAACAGAAATTTACCAATGTCCGCAGTTGGGGAAATGATTACAGAAAGTTTACATTGTATCCAGATGCTCGTTATGCAAGATGCTTGTGGTCATCTAGATCTGTTTAATTACTCAGATGCTTTCAGAATTTCTGTGAGGTTCATATGTTAAGCTCATTATACCAGGTTTATATTTAAAAGATACAAATAAGTAAAATGTTTTGTTACCAGAGGAGTTGGATTAACCAAAAAAATATTTGGATAATGACAATCAAGTTTTCTAGCAACAAATCCTTCACATTTCTGTAACTTTTATTTATCACAGGAACATGTGTCAGATACAATCAGAAAATGCCCTTAATTGGTATGCAACAATGAAGTTTTAAAAAATGACGATGAAACTGCTTCGCTGCGTACAATAATTGGACTTCTAACACTATTGAGTTCCATCAGACCAAATCAGCGACGAGGACGCATATGATCCATCTGGCAAACCTTTTCCAACGACGGTCACAGTAAAAGTCTTCTCCTCATTCAAGGACTTGAATGAAAGAACTTCAGGTACCACTTTGATGTCAACTTTTGAATCTGGGAGAATTTTGGCCTCGTAAGTAGAGTTTGCATGGCCAACATTCTTAACTGTTCTATTGAAGTTAATTGTAAATGATGTCACTGGTTCAACAACAGCAGAAAGCGAAGGATAATTAAAATCCTTTGGTGATCCTTCCTCAAAGCCTTTAGGACAAGGGATGTTCTCTCCCGACATAAGTTTAACTCTGACATCATCCAAGAATGAGCAGAGAAACTTGATGTAATCGCCTTCAGAAGCTTCGTACACGAGGCCAGGATCTACAGCTGTTACCAGATTGATGTGTCCAGATCCATGAGCAAATTCACCGGGAGCATCGTTGGTATGGTCCATGGGCCAAGCTGTTGTCATAAGAGATGATTTGATGGCTGCTGGAGACCATTCAGGGTGGAATGTTCTAATATATGCAGCTGCAGCAGCAGCATGCGGGCCAGATAGTAAACTGTATTTGACATGCCTCTCGTCGTCAGGGCTATTCATGATGGGAGCAACAGGCGAAAATGCAGCCAAAATATCTACTCCTGGGGCACTTATGTCTGGCTTAATAATTTCAGGCAATATCGAATTCGGTCCACATGAAGAGAAAGAAACAACAATGGGTGCAGCAGGATCTTTTATGGCTTCACTTTTTAATATGGTTGCTCGATCATCTTTTGTAGAGGTAGGACTTGAGCCCCACATATTCTTTGATGCTTAAACCTGCTGCAGGTAGTGAGGCAATAAAACTTACATCGTCTCTGGCACTGATGAAAATTGAACCTTGTGCACCAGCTTCACGAGCCACTATCTCTCCAATGGACTGATCACATACCAAAATATGTCCCTTGACTAAATCACTGTCTACGCAGCCTGCTGAACAAATCCGAGTCTCGAAATCAGAGCACTTACGTGTAGCACCTTTTCCATATACCAGACTTGTTGCGTTGGATGAGAAAGAGTTCACTGAATTCCCGATTAGTGTAAGTACCCAAGCCTCTACACTATTTACGGTACCTGCTCTAGGACCATTGTTGCCTGCAGAATTTATGGTTAGTATCCCTTTCTTCATGGCATGAAAACTCCCAATTGCTATAGGATCACTATCAAAAGAAGAGACCAAAGTTCCTCCGAGTGAAATTGTAATGATGTCAACTCCATCAGCAATAGCATCGTCAAAAGCAGCCATGATAGCCTCTCCAGGGCACTGGTTAAGTTCGCAGACTTTATATGCAGCAATTCTCGCAGAGGGAACTCCTCCTCTTGCAGTACCTTGTGCTAGTCCATAAAAGCTCACGTCGTTAACGGCGTTCCCTGCTGCCATTGAGGCAGTGTGTGTTCCATGGCCAATTTCATCCCTTGCGGATGATGAGTTGTAATGCCGAGCTCCAATGATCTTGTTGTTGCAAGTGAAATTTTTGCCACCTACACAAACACCTTTCCACTTCTTGGGAGCCGGACTAAAACCTTCGTCATTGAAGCTCTGTGATTCAGGCCAAATTCCAGTGTCGATCACACCAACGACAACATCACTCTCAGCAGTAAAATTTCGTTTGTTTTCGTCTTTGAGACCAATAAAATCCCAAGATCTTGTTGTGTGAAGTTGGAAGTTTGTGCTTGGAAAGACAGAGACTACTTCCTTCATGTTAGCAAGACTTTCTATTTTCTTGGTCAGTGAGCTTGGCAGCAAACCCATTGAAGCAGAAGTGCTCTCCACAACTCCTTCTAGCATTCCTATTTGGAGAGACAATCGTGAGAAGGCCTCATCATTAGGAAGTGATCCCAAGTAGACTATATATGGCTTTCTGTCTTCATCATCAATGGCTTTGCACAATAAGCTCATAGAGAGTTTGAGAATGGAAAAAACATAAGAAAACAGGAGAGCTCCATGCTTTGCCATTGTTTCGATTCAATGCTCTAGACCGTTACCGATAAAGAATACTTAATAGCGGGAAGAAAGGAGGACATAACAATCATATCTCCATTAACATCCAGATTTTTTATTCCTTCAGTTTTCAATGCAGGTTTGGAGTTACAGCTAACCTAGATATGACTTCATCACTCACACCACAATTTTCAAGTGCATGTTTCCAAATTGGAATTTAGACTTAATTCTGGTGGCCCTGGTAATTTTTGAATACCTCAAAAATCTCATTGCAATTAAAGGGGGCAGATTGTCATACCTTCCTTTTGAATCCATACCTGGAATTATAGATAGCTGACGAATTGGATTCCTTGAACCATAATTTCAAGTTCATACAGTTGTACAATGACATTCAATAAGGGGAGACCAAAGGGAAAAGTAAACTCATATATTTATAATTATATATTCTACCTATTCATTCCATATGTCAATGACATTCTATCTACTCTTTTCTTTCTATTTTGTTTTTTTGTTTTGGTATTGAGGTTAATAGAAATCTTTTCTTCTTCCTCATTCGTGGCGTCTCCTAACATTCGAGATTCAACATATATTTCTTGATCAACATTTTCATTGCTCAATTCTGGGAGGGGTTCATGCTTCAGCAGAGTTTCAGTTGAAGGCATCTTTGATACTAATGAGCACGTAAGCAACTTCAAAACCTGAAGCAAGTGAAAAGATCATCAGAAACTAGCATTTCATTTCTTACTAGAAAATTAACTTTGGTGGTATAACAGATCATTTACCTCATCAACTCCTACATTGACTGTCAACTCCTCAATACTATTCCATCCCGTGAATCCGAGGTTCTTAACTAATTATAAATCTGGCTGTAGAAGTAAATGGGGGCATCACTTTTAAATCATCACTAATTATAAATCTGGCTGGACCTTTTACAAAGACCTCACCATATTCAGCACCAGACACTGGAAGGGTGGTCTCCGTGTCCATTAGACGCTTACAACGTTGACAAGGAACCGTTTGGTAATAACTAAAAACAAGACTGCTCCGAAAATTTCTGCAATGTGGATTAGAACATGTAAAGTACCGCGTGGGTTCGCAATCATCAAATTTCAGTTTGAGGTTGTCCAAGAGATATTCTGTCCTATTGCGGGGACGTAACAGCATGGCTCTACATTCTTCAGTACGGCAAAGCTGTGAGTCAAAACTCTCCACACTTCAATATATGTTGTCCATGCAACCAATTCCCAAGGGTTGTGAACGATGGGAGTTAGGCGGCGCCTGGGCGGCCTAGGCGGGTCTAGGCAGACGAAGGGCGGTTGAAGCGCGCAGGGAGTTAGGCGGGGCCGTCATTTCACCCTAATCATTATGGGTAGGTGCCAGGAAGTTAGGCGGAGCCTGGGCGCCCGCCTAGGCGGGTCTGGGTGGGCGTTTTGCCGTTGAGGAGCGGACGAAGGTAGGTTGAAGCGCGCAAGATCCGCTGCTTGTTAGGAAGAAAGACGGAGAGACAGAGAGATGAAATCGAAACAGAGAGAGGAAGGAGAAGGCGACGCTTGGGAAGAAGAGATACCTGACCTAATTTTTAATATAACTAACGGGTTGGGTTTTGTAAAATGGCCCTAAACATTGTATTAAAATGGGCCTATTTTTACTTCTTTTTTTTCAGTTTTTTTAAATATCAAGGTTACTGAAAATACAAAAATAAAAGTCAGATAATATCAAGGTTGGAAAATATTAAAATTTTCTTTTATATATCTTATTATTTTGCATAATTTTGGTATAAATTTATAATTTATAATATAAAATAATTATTAAAAAAAAAAGGGTGCCTAGGCCCCGATTACTCCTCTAGGCTCTAGGCCCATGCCTAGCGCCCACTTACTACCTAGGGATTTTTCGAACTTATATTAAAAAAAGAAAAGCATATATATGAAAATGTTGTATCATAAAATACAAATGGGACATATAAAAATATTTTCTTTTTATGAAATATTTTCATAAGTCTTATGTGTATTAGATTGTACGCCACACAGTAGGGGCAGAGCTATAGCAAGGCCTGTCGTGGCCCTAGGCCCCCATTTAATTTTCAATCTATTGTAATATATTATAAAATAGATGATACAGCAATATCATTACTGCAATTAGATTTGTGTTGACCCTCTCAGTTGAAGATGAAAAACCTATGTGGAAGTGACTTTGAAATTTTTGCCCCTTCATGCTAAGAATCCTAGCTCCGCCATTGCCAGACAATTGGTGTACCTATGAAATTGACAGAAAATGCATTTTCTAGTCTAAGTGTGAATCCTAGGGATCAATCAAACACAGGTCAACCTGGAAGTTCAAAGTCTAAGAAGAACTGGAAACCACAGAAATGGAAGAAAGGGGATGCAAAGTCTGAGAACAATTCCAAGAAGGAAAACCAGAATGAAGGAGCAAAGGGTCCTTGCAAAACATGTGACAAGCTTCACTATGGTGCTTGTTGGTTCAAAGGCAAGCCTAAATGCTACAAATGTGATAGGTTTGGTCATCTGGCAAAGGATTGCAAAGGCAAACCAGCTCAGCTAACTATGCAATACATAAGGAGGAAGAAGGTACAATGTTTTATGCATGTCATTCTGCTTCTGTGGTGAAAAATAATGATGTGTGGTATTTGGATAGTGCTTGTAGCAATCACATGACCTCACATGAATCCCTTCTAATCAATGTTGATACAAATGTCATTGGAAAGGTAAAAATGGGCACAGGAGATTTGGTGCAGGCCACTGGTAAAGGTACCTTAGTGATTGACACTGAATTTAGGCCTAGATACATTAAGGAAGTCATGCTTGTACCAGGGGTGGATGAAAATCTACTCAGTGTTGGTCAGATGGTGGAACATGGATCTTCCTTGATTTTGGGAAACTCAATGGTGGAGGTATTTGATGACAGCTCAATGGAACACTTGGTTGCTAAAGTTCCAATGATAGGGAATAGATGTTTTCCACTCTCTCTGAAATATGTGAATTATGTGGCTATGAAGGCAACTGTTGTAGATACTATTTGGTGTTGGCTTAGGAGGTTTGGTCATCTCAATCTGCAGAGCTTGAAATTGTTACAACAAAAGGAAATGGTTTATGGACTGCCAGAAACTGGGAATGCATAGGGAATTTGCTAAGGTTGTGCTGTCACATCCCGAGATCGGCTTCGCCGTAGCACAATATTGTTCGCTTTGGGCCCCCCTCTCTGCCCTCACGGTTTTGTTTCTAGGAGCTCACGAGCAACTTCCCGGTGGGTCACCCATCCTGGGATTGCTCTGGCCCCAACTTGCTTAACTTCGGAGTTCCCATGACTCCTAAGCTAGTGAGCTCTCAAAAGGCCTCGTGCTAGATGGAGGCAGGCATGTACATATAAGGCACATGATCGGTGCATATTTACATATCATTTTGTACCCTTCTAGCTTATGATTTGGTTATGTTTTTTTTAGTTAAACTTGTGCTTTTAATCCTTTTTGTGTTTATCTTTCAGTTCATTGAGCTTTAGGTAATAATGATGGCTTTAGAGAGCATAATTCATGCAATTCAAGCATGTTAAGGCTTAATTTGGATGAATGGATGAAGAGCTTAAAGACAAACTCATTTTGGCTACAGCCCCCTGCCAGTCCAGTTCCGTAGGTCATATTGCAAGCTTTGTTTCAACAACCTACATAGCTCGAATGATGCCACATTCTTCATGAAAGTTGTTCCAATTGGTGTGTCCTATAACATATCCAAAATTCAGCCCCATTGGATAAATCTGGAGTCCGTTACCTAGCAAACACAGAACCATGCTCAGGATGGATCTTATCAGCGCGGAAAATGAGTTAGCAATTTGTTTCGGCCTTAAAAGAAGACATTCTGAACTTCAATTTCGAGTGCTTAAAGTCCTAATTTGATTAAGAGAAGCCCAAGTTGTAAGCCCTTGAAGTTGCTGGTCATGCTGACCTCAGCATGTGCTGGTTGGATGCTTGGTCATGGTGAGCTAGGTATGAGCTATCATTTCTGGTTGGAAGCTTGGTCATGGTGACATGAAGATGAGCTAGGGCTGCTGGTGGGATCTATTGGTGAAGTGCATCAACCAATTCAAGATTTTCTAATACAAGTGCATAACCCAATTTAGATTTTCTAATACAAGTGCATCAACCATTCCAGATTTTATAAAACAAGTGTTGTATGCATTAGCCACATTGAATTCAGATTTTCACTTCCCCTAGGCCTATAAATAGGGAAGTTCTCTAAGCTTGTAAACACACCCCAAGGGGGGGAGCTCTCAAACACTTCTCTAGAGCTCCCTCCCCTTCTCTCCCTCAAATTCTCTTAGTTTCTCTTTCTAGTTTTCAATTGTTATAATGAGATCTTTGTGCCGAAATTTTCCTTTAAGTCTTTCCAAGTTCTACTTTAATTTTAATTGTTATGTAAATTCTTTTCTTTAGTTTCAAGTTTAATTAGTTTCCAAGTTTCAATTATGATTTTTGTTCTTAGTCATTATGCTTATAAGTTAATATGCTAGTTTGAATGATTGATCACCATTAAGGCTTGCATGTTAGCTATCTTGGTTTGAATTAAGAGTAGACACAATGCTTTAATTCGAATTGAACTATGAATAGGAAGAGTACGTATGGACATTCGACAACAGGGATTAGATACATACTTGGTTGTTTAAAATGTTCTTCTATGCTTAATGGGTTCCTAACGCTTAATTTTAGGTTAGACAACAAATGATCAAAGTAGGGAATTAGGAACACAAGGTTATGACCACACACCATGGCTTAATAATACATTAGCTAGAATCAATCCGTTAATCTAATTGAACTTGAGAACTTATCTACTTGAGTTAGTTATTTTCTTTCATCCTTGTTTTATTTATTTCCTTTCTTTTTCATTTCAGTTTTGTGTAGGAAAACTGAATTGGATCATTCAATAACCAATCCTCGTGGGATCGACCTCGCACTTACATACGCTATACTACCAAACGGCTCGTGCACTTGCGAGTATCACAAGTGGAGGATGCAACTGAATCCATTTTGGTGCAGCTGAAATCCACACAACAAGTTTTTGGCGCCGTTGCCGGGGAACGGTAACATTGTTTGATTCTATTTGGCTTTCCAACTTTATTTTTTTTTCTTAACTGGACAATTTATTGTTTTAAAGTTAATGACGTTAATGGACAAGTTGTGTTTGTAGTCCAACAGAAAAGGACAATTGCCAAACAAGCAAGAGAACTGGGTTTAAGTCCCAGCTTACACAACCCATTGGCGCTTGTTGCTTTGAAGCATGGAATTGGATGTGTGTTGATTTTCCTTTTCATTTTAGTTTTTATTTCCTAATCCTTTTAATTCCATTTCAAGTTTGTGTGTTTGTTTTAGCAATTTATGATAGCTTAATAAAAATGGAGAGAGATGGCAACCTCAATCATAAGAATGGGAAGTGTAGAGCAATGGGAGAAGTTGCGACCTCCAAGTGCATCCACGCTCGACCTAATCGCTTCAAGGGGGAGCATTTCAATCCTTTCTCTTTACTTGTTATTATTTTAAATTTCTATTTCTTTTTT